TTTGAGTGAAGTTTTGTCAACTAGACTCTCTCTCTCTCTCTATAATTGAGGCCTACCTTTACCTTTGTACGTAAGAATAATGACCTTCTGAGGTACCAATTGGGCGTCTGTTATCACTTTGATAGGGAAATGGATTATAATGCAAAACGCGTCTTCATCCAATCTACTCAGTAAATTGGTCCCCCAACCAATCACTAGGCATATTGCGTGTAAGACTCTACGAACAGAATGAAAAATATCAAGTGTGTGTGAGAATTTTCCCCCATGAGAGCAAGCACGATTGGGAATCTTTGTGTTCTAAAAACATAACTAATCATTGTAGATATTAGCTGTACTTAGAACCATGCGTACGAGTTATGTTTACATATGTTATATATGTCATGTTTAAATCCAAACTAAGCACATTTATGAAAATTAGGAAGGTCTGCATCTAGATCACGTTTAGTGACTCGAACTGAAGTGAACTACATAAAAACTGGCTTATGTTAAACTCAACTACTCAACTCCAATCTAGTCCAAACCAACCGTGACAGCCTTACAGACTTAAGCTTAGGATATGATGAAATAGTATCCAAACGTAGTTGGGGAATTTGGGACCTGGGACCAAGACCTGGCCGAAATGAAGCCTAGACGATAAGGTCAAACTGTCCTTATTTAGTTTGTTTGGTTGGACTACCCACCGCCACGTGTCAGATTCCGATTGGGAGCCTAATCGGAAACTTTTGAAAGCCTTGTCCACCCACCCAACATGATGATGAAAGGAAAAGATCAAACATGTTCGAATTTTTGAGACATTTCCCATTTGCACTAGGCACTTACAGTCTTACACTGTACTGCCTTGTCTCTGTCAAAAATATATCATTCATTCAACTTCAACCCAATCAAAAAGCAAAATCAAACTTTAAAGTGAAAACACCAATCGCTATTTCCACAGCCCAAAACACTAGATAATCTTGCCAATGGGGTCTAAGAGAAATCCATTTTTCTTATAATTTAGATAATCGCTTATACTTTAAACATCAGCTATGTACTTTTTTATGGTTAGTGTTTTTTTATACGAGAGACAATTTAAATTACTTCAATTTACGAGGCAGTGCGATCGAACTCGAATGCAAAAACAAATCTGAATTTGATGGCTTATTTGAGGTTATATTTATTTATAAAAATGTTACTCATACCATATCTACATACGCATCACTTGAAGCAACCAAGATAAACATGGTGGGATGGGATATGATATGAGTGCTTGAACTTTAATCTTTTGTTTTCGATTTTAATTAATCAAATCAAAACCCACTCAATCTGATTCACTCAGTGAAAAAATAAAAAAGCAGAACCCACTCATCAGATCATCACATTAATTAATAATAACAAAGAACAAAATTGTTGATTTATTCTTTTTACGCAAATCCAAATCTGTGACCCAAAAAATAATAACAATTCACAATCGTACTGAAAGAAAATAAAAAAAAGGAATAATTATATAAAAAACTGGTGGCAAAAATTAAATCTGATCTGGAACATTTGGATTATCGAGAAGAAGGCACCGTAATGATAATCAACGGCTGTTGCTCCTCCTCTGCACCCTTAAAATCAGGTACTACGACTTCACACCCGGCGCACGTTAGTGACTGGGCCCTCTTAGCTTGGAGATCCCAGTCTGTGGTCCCAACCACATACAACATCAGCCCAGCACAACAAACCTGGGCCGACAGCAACCCGATCCAGAGTCCACAAAACCCCACCCCGACCCAGAACCCGAGACCAATCGCCACGGGCATGCCCACCAGATAGAACGCGCTGAGGTTCACATTGGCTGCGGTGGAGGGGCGCGCGCTCCCTCTGAGGACCCCACACCCAACCGTCTGCGGGCAGTTTCCGAGTTCGCACAGGCCTAGGATGGGCAGCGCGGCCGACGTCAGCCGCACGATCTCTGCATCGCTAGTGAACATCCGGCCCCAGCTCCCCCTCATCCCGGACGCGAAGGTCGTTGCCGACAGGCCCATCAGGAACGCCAGCATGACCGCGACCGCAGAGGATAATTTCGCCTTGTGCGGGCGTTTCGCCCCGAGCTCGTTCCCGACCCGCGTGGAGACCGCGAAGCTCAGCGAGGATGGGAACACGTAAATCAACGACGTCGTTTGGATGAGCACGCCCATCGAGGCGACGGTTGCTCTGGGGTCCACAAGAAGCCCACACAAGACGATCATGATCTCGTACCACCACCACTCCAAACAGACAGAAACGCAGCTCGGAGCCGCGAGCCGAAGCAGTGGCTTCCAGCCTGTCAAGCACTCCCGGCTCGGCGCGGTCCACGTAGGCTGGTGTATCCCCGTGGCCCACACGTAAGAAACAAGAGACAACAAGACAAACAAATTGGAGGTAGCGGAAGCGGCCGCGACGCCGGCCACGCCGAGCCGAAGCCGAGCGACCAAGAGGAGGTTCATGGGCAGGTGAAAGAGCGCGCCGGCGAGCGATGCTAACGTGAGCGGGTGGGTGATGCCCTGGGCGCGAAGGTAAATGCGGATTGGGTGAATGAGGGAGTTGGTGAGGAGGTCAGGGAGGGAGAAGATGAGGTAGGTGTGGGCCATGGCTGTGATATCTGGGTCTTGGCGGAGGTACAGGAGGATGGAGGACATGCTGAGCCAGAGCAGCGAAATGGGCAGCGACGAAACGACGAGGAAGATGACGGAGCGGTGAAGGGTCAAAGAGAGGAGCTTTGGACGTTGGGCTCCGAAGGCTTGGGAACAGAGAGGCTCCATGCCCAGGGCCAGGCCGGAGAGGACAGAGTAGCCGGTGATGTTGGCGAAGGCGATGGCCAGCGACCCGGCGGCGAGCTCGAGGTCGCCGAGGCGGCCGAGGAAGAGCATGGAGACGACTGAGCGGGAGTAGAGAATGAGGGCGGTGAGGAGGATGGGGAAAGCCAGCTGAAACAGAGACTTGGTCTCAGATATTATGTCTGGAAGAGTAATTGAGTCAGTGAAATGCTGTGGTGGTAGGGGTTGGTGTTGCTGCTGATGCTGATGCTTTGCAGGATGGGTTTCATGTTTAATGGCGGTGTTTGGTAGAAATAAGAAGTCTAAGAAGAGATGGGGTTGTGACTGTTGGTGATGCTCTGTTTTCTTGGCGGCTGTTGATGAAGCAGCAGAAGGATTTGGATTGCACATGATGCTGCTACTCCTGCTGATGATGATGATGATGATGATGATCAACAACAAGAAGAAGAAATTACGTTTGTTTTGTTTTTGCTGCAGCTTGCCTATATATATATATATATATGTCTATATTCGATGATGATTAATTGTTTCTGTTTGAATGATGCTCTGTTTTCAGCTGAAAGGGAGAGAGAGAGAGAGAGACATACTCTCGTAAAGAGCACTCTATGTCTTTGAAATGAAAGATAGATGGATTGAATGGATAGATGGATGGCTTGGTTTTTGGCGTAGGGGAGAGGGGTATACAAAGTAGAGTATTAATAGGGGTGTTGAGCTGGGGCATTTCTGTCTTTCTCTGCAATTTTGAACTTTGTTTATCTATATGCTCTGGTTTTTTACCCTTTAAACTCGAAGATCATTTCTTTTTTTCAATCGTAAGTATTTATGAGAATGTGGTAATTAGTTGTTTAATTTTGTTTATGTGGTTTGAAGAAAGAGACGTCAGATTGTCAGGATTTTTGGGGCAGAGGTTTCAATTTCCAACGAGTAAATTTTTAAGGGGGATTGTTCTGGTGATTTTTTTGCTCTCAGTCACGAAGGAAGGCTCATCACTTTCTGCTGCTCCTCTGGGCTCTGCCCTTTACCTACGTAGAGACATTATAATAATGTGCTTTGCTTTCCTTCAAAAGCCAGTGATTCGAGCACCCTCTTCTCACGGGCACCCATCAACGCAATGCAATGCAACAAAGAAAGGAACTTGTTTCGACACAATTTGCGGCCCCAACAGTCTACACCACTACGTTATTATGATCAACATCATATAATCACGGGGATTTCATATATAGACTCATTTTAATTTCACATCTTATATAAAAAATAAAAATAAAAGTCTGTTCGGAGAAAGAGAAAAAAACCCTAAATTTATCATTTGTCATTCTCCAAATGGTTCTTAACGTGTTTCAATTTTTTTCAATTGAAAGTACAACATAGAATTTCTCTAAAGTATTGGACTTCAAATGTTTTTTTATTTTATAAAATGCCGTGTTAAAATGGGTATATTTATGTTAATTCATTTTCAATACACGGTCTCGCACGTGTGAGACTATTGTAGAATGTAGTCTCGTATGGAGGAGGATCATGGACAAAAGTTTACTTTGTAGGGCTACCTCGTTCACAAAGGTTACTTGGATACTAGATTTTTATATTCCATTCGTATTGAGAAGTCGAATAGGGAGGGAGGTTTTCCTCCTCCATACTCCTTTACATTTTGTTGATTTAAATATTTGTGGTCGCAGAAGGAGGGAGCCAATTCGAAATATCCCAACTTCCCTAATGAGAATAACAACATCTCATGCCACATTTTTTGAGGCATAATTGCAAGCTGTGGATGATTGATTGATGTTAATCTCCTGTTGAAGGAGCTCATGAAAGTCATTGGAGGAGTGAGACGTGAGGTCACTCTCACTCACACTTGCCCTACCTGGAGCATCACGAACTACTCTTTCTTCATTTAAATTCATTTTCTGCACCAAACCAAAAAAGAAAAAAGAAATATATATAGAGAGAGAGAGAGAGAGAGAGAGAGGGAAGTGGCCGGTGGGTGGGCCTGGTGGCCGTTTGGATGATCTGATTGGGACGACTGGAATTTCTGAATTGGACACTAATTAAGGAGGGTCTGGCTTCTACACGTCAGCAAAAACACCCCCTTCATTTTACTGCCAAAAAATGCTGTCCCATGGACGTTGCTCCCTCCTCCTCCAAAGTCTTATCCCACGTCACATTTCATTGCCCTTCTCACCCCTTCACACCAGTCTGCCCCTCCGTTTCTCAAAAGTTGTGCTAGCGAGAGATGCGCGCGTGCGTGACAGTTCAACACAAACAAATATAATTCTATTAATCATGATTGTAATTTAAAGTCCAACCATATATCATTGGATTGTTAATAGGTTAGTGACATTGACTGGTTCTTTGGTAGAGGGGCGGCATAATAGGGAGAAAAAGGTATAATATTTTTTGTTATTTCGGTTAATAAAGTAATAATATGTAAAAATTGACCGAAAATAGCAAAACAATGATACTCCTATTACAAGTAAGGTTTTTTCACAATAGGATAATATCACATGTTGATCCTAGCCCATTGTGAGAGCCCTAGACTAGTTACCATATACAAGAATTTATGTAGTTAAATGCATGTAAGTTTGAAAGGGTAATTATATATATATATATATATATATATACATATACGTGCTTTGCGTGATGAACGGGGGGGTAGAATAAGGTCCTCGCTGGGTTTCCACAAACAGATGGAAGGAAGGAGACAGAAATGCCTCCGATTCAATGAAAGTGCATGCATTATTAAAATTTATTTTACTTTAATTCCCTTCTGTAGTTATGACCCTGTTACCTCTGCCTGTGTACATGCAAGTGCTGTACCTATCTCTCTTTCTCTCTCTCTGTAGCTATCTCTGTCTTGTTGAGTTGGGCGCAATTGACCTTGTTGTCGTTTTCTACGAATGTAATTTGCGTTTTTGTTTTTAAATCATGTTTAAAAGAGAGAGAGAGAGAGATAAATAGATAGATTGGAATTTGATGGGGTAGGAAACTTGAGAAACAGCAGTGATGGTGGGGTGTGCTCGCTGGGTGGCTCAGAATGATATGGAGAAGAGAGCTCGTGAATATGACACACACATTCCCAACCCAATCTGTCGCCCTCTTAAGTCTCACCCTCTTTCCTCTTCCGAAATATTTTTGGTCACTACTTTAACTTAAGGTATATTTTTATTATCTTTCTAACCACTTGATATATTTTTATTGGTATAACCATAATTAACTCTTTACTTTGTACTTATGGAACCATAGTTATGCCCATAAACATGTATCAAGTATTGAAAATGGTTGTGAAAATACACCTTGAATTAAAATGGTGAGTAAAAATATTACTTCTTTCTTCCCTTCTCAGTGCACCACTTCTTACTTTTTTAATAGGAGCCTATTGCTTCTTTTTCAGCGTGACAGTCACATTGTTATACATATTTTTAATTTATATATATATCAATTAATAACTTTACAAATGTGAGTTAGGTCAGTTTGCAAGGGCAGTGAACTCTCTCTTTCGCACCAAAGTTCAAATTCCCATTTATAGATCAAATGGTTTCTAATTCAAATGATTTTTTGCAGCTTTGAGAGAATATCTAAAAATTAAACGGTTCAAATCATTGGAAACCAATGTATAGTGGGCCATACAAAGATGTTACTCAAATAAACTTATTTGATGGATCCCTCAATAGAAGCTCACTGCATAAAGATAATGTTAAACTAGAAATTAGAAACCAGAAAACGAAAAGCGATACATGAAGAGATAGAGGGAAAGGCACAGGTGCTGAACAGAAACACTAGAAGCCTTTGTGCTAAGAGAATATCTTGGTTCTTATTGGGTGGCTTGTGAGTAGGTCCCCCGGCAGACCCAGCAAGTGGCCCACTGGCCCTAGTGGGGCATCTTTTTATTGGGTGATGGGCAGCAGCAGGCAGCTACCCTATAGTGTGTAAGCAATAGCATAGCCACTTGATCGATCATGGAGGCACATGAGTATAATTTTGCTAATATATATAGCATCGAATTTTAAATTTCTGCTTGCATGAGTTGGTACAAATTAACCTTGTACGTACACTTATTTAGAATCTTAATTATTGTTAATTAATCTTAAATTGTCATGTCTAATTGCTATAGCTTCCAGCTGACTCCCTACTTCACCCAAAGGTTACTTAGGCCAAGTAGATTTTAATCTATCCTTTTCTTAAGCACAAAGTTTCGCATTATACAATGTAAAGTGCTTGATTCATCCAATAACTAACCCATCAAGTTATCGTAAACATATATACTGTTACTATTTTACTGCTAAAATAAAAATTTAGGATGCGTGAGAATTTCTACATTTCGTTTTCACAATTAGCCATCACATACATATATTAAGTACATAATAAGTGATTACGAGAAAAATGAATATATGTCCCGATCGCTTAAAGAGTGAAAGACTTCCTCATCATCTCAAAGGATTTTTTGCCCTACCACCTGAATTATGCGAGACCCAATTTGTATTCATTCATTCTTGGTCAACTTTAAATTTCGTATTAAGAGAAAATGTTGATGATGAACATGAGGAGTAATTCATAATTGAACCGTACAAAACTTTTTTCCTTCCTATTAAGTATTTGTATACGGGGTCCATTATGCATTATTTTCTGACATAATTCATAGATAACATAAATAATTCTTGAATTTTTGTTTAGTAAATAAATTGACCTTTTATTCTTTATGGGATAGCTTTAAAGTGCATGCCAATAACATTTGTGGTGTTTTTAAGATTTCCACCCAACAAGCAACACCCATGAAGTTCCATCACATATATATTACAAGGAATAATAAAAGTTCCTTTTCTCATACCATGATCATGAAAAGGCAAAGAAACAAAAACAAAACAAAAAAGGGAAGAAAAAAAGAAAAAGAAAAGTTGAACATGGACTATATGGGACGCGTGGCAACACCCCATATATGGGAAGAAGAAGACTAGAGAAAGTATTCATAATTTCCAAGGATCTCTCACTCATCTTCAAAAAGGCACAACCCGAGCAACCGCAAAGCCCATCTCCGTCATCTTTGCTTCATTTTATTTTATCTCCTAACCCTAAACTACGCCATTTATTTTGCCTTTTAGTTTATATATATTATCATCCATTATTAAAAAAATCTGGTCCATCTGATCTTCGCAGCCAATGTTTTATTATAAGTTTGTGGAAAAGGGAGGAAACATTAGTGCATGCCCCATATGCATGTAAGAGATGTAACTCATCGCACTCTCAAAGAAATCGGAAAAGGGCCGCAGAAAGAAAGAAGGAAATATATATATACATAGGGCACGTGATATTTGGGAAGGAGTTGCAGATGGGTGTTCACAAGTCCAGCTACTTGTCTCGCACGCACAGCTCATATCTCCATCTCCATTCGCAAATCCATCTAAAGCAAAACCCTTCAAAACTTTAACAGCAAAAAAACATTTATCATCTGCAGCGTAAGCATATTTTTTGACTTACAAGTTAGAAGCTCCCTGGTTGGAAATTCTGTGTAGGCTGTAGCTTACTAAAATTGTTACAGAAGAAAAGAAAGAAAGAGGCTAAAAACACAACCACCAGGAAGAGACCCACACGCATGCCATATCCCACGTGGGGGCCATTTCTGCACATGGTTGTGAGATATTCTTGTCCAAATTCCCACACCATTGATGACCTTTAATTCAATCCTAATTTTGTTAACTCTTTTTATAAAAAAAAATATGATTAAGATGTATTATGAATCGTTCAAGTGTGTCATCATAATTTGTGTGTTCCCCGATCCTAACCCTATATGTATGTATATCTCTGATTCCATCGGCAAGCAAAGCCAACCTTTCTAAGCTGGTCTTCGACCATGGCTCTGCTTACTTGAGTTGAGCGTATTTGTTGGACTTGGACTGCTTTTAGGTCAAGGGTCTAAATTGTCTAAAATCTCAACACTTTTGAACAATCCAGGGGGAAACAAGTGACCAACAAATACTGTTTTGTGTTTGACTTTGACCCACTAATTGGCAATATAGGGAGGAGACACACGTGGCAAACTGGGTCCTAGCCACGTGGAAAATTAGGGTAGGGCCATAGGTAAAATGAATGATCTGCTTCTTTTCCACAAAGTAGACAGAGATATATATGTATATAATGATAAGTTTGGTTTTGGATTCCTTAATTGATGCAAGAATGAAAGGCGTGCACTGAGCTAGCTGCATTTTCAAACCCCAATTGCATGGGTATAGATTGCTCTTGAGACTAGACTCAATTCAGAACCCCACAAACCAAGCTATTGGTGGCCCCAAATTGTTGGCATTGTGATTAACATATATATTGAGGTGAATGCAATACATCTGAATCATTAATTAAAGCTTTGATCAAGCTCTAATTACTTTGTTCATATAGATTAATTTATGAACAGAATAATTGTTGTACCTAAATCGAAATGGGGTCAAATATAAAGAAACTTTAGTCAATCACTTCCATAATCACCAATTAACAAAAGAAAGATTATCTTAGGTTGACAAAATGGAAATAGGAATCCCAAAAGTGACTTTTCAAAGCATGTAGGCGTTCATCCACAGAGAATTGCAGCATGATGAGACTAGATTTGGTTCGATATGGGGGGTCAAGTTTTCTTGCGCTAGTGATTTTGGAGGGAGAATTATATTGATTGGACTTTGAAAAAGAAAGTTGGCTTCTTAGAGATAGAGAGTGTATATATATGCAAATTGTCTCATGAAGGAATGTATTTTCTACTATCCCTCCATACTTTCCTTCATATTTATAATAACGTCCACACTGTAATAACGCCAAAATGTCGGCACATCGGAGAAGGCCAAATCAATATTGGTTTTGTTGCATCAATATCCCACCAAAAGTGTCACTACCAACTCCACCAGAAGAAAGAAAATGAACAAAGTCAAAGACATGTTGCTTTCACTTTTCTGTGAGTGAATTGATTACTGTTATGTGTGCAAGTTCTTCAACATGATCTTATGATTCTGTAAAAATTGACTGCAAGCCTTGTTCAAATACTGGCAGCGCCTAGTTCATTCGTACAAGGCAGTTCAAAACCCTGGATTTCAATTTGCAATCACTTTGGAAGATGGAAAAATTCAACCCAACTGTTTCAAGAAAGCAGTTGTTGAAAGTAAAATATTTTGACAAGGGGGATGACAAAAGGAAACACAACATGGCAAAATAATGGTGGGTTGGGGAGAAGTAATGATCGCTAAATCCTCAAAAGTGATATCCCTCCTGAGCGTGAGGGTTTGATTTCAAGAGTGATTAGTGCTTAAAGAGTAGGATTAGGAGTGGGATTAGCGATGACGTATTCAAGAACTGACCATTGTGGAGAATCTAATCATGTCAAATCCTTGTTTGGTTGATGAGAAACAACATTTTCCCCCTTCTCGAGGACATGCACATGCTCAATGTCACTCAGATAGGCCTCAGGATTCCTTGATTTGGGCCGGGATTTTATGGGCTAGGCCCAATCTCTAAAGACCTCAGAAGGCCCAGCCCAGATTGAATTTTTCTTCAAAGTTGAGGGTCCATAGCTCATGGTATCATTAAACCCATAGGGCCCTTGTTCTTGGTCTTCCAATTAGAAACTCTGTCAGAGCTGGGGACAGAGAGAGCTGAAGCTCAGCGGCCAACAATGGCGCCTGCTCC